TGAGCACTCCCAGAAGTCTCAGCGTCCCGATTTTAACATCCATTTAATGGCCTCACCTCCCCCTCCCGTTTCATACAATACTGGAATAGTTTGCCAATAAATACACGTGAGTATTTTCTCAATACTAAAACTCATATTGCTTTCGGCACTAACATAGACAGGTATGATCCCTACCCTTAATCCCTTCCCAAGGTGACAAGACTATGAGCCCCTTGACCAACGCTATCACCAGCTAATAAAGAATTTGAGAGTTTTGCAATTGAACGAAGCGAAATTCTTTTCAAATGCATTGTTTTTATTTACATCTTTATTAAAGTTCGAAATCAAGATTTTATATCATTGTTAGTTCAATCTATTAAAACAAAAACTAAGGGGGATCAGTAAGAGGGGAAAAGGTTACTTTTATTTACCGTTTCTCCCAAATGCCTGCAGTTTAAATACGCATAAGCATCCGTTCAACTGTAAGCGAAAGTAGATTTTTCTTCAGAGATCTCGGGTTCTTATTTCATAAGCACCGCTTTGGCATAGCAGTTGACAGTGGCACTCTCCGACATAGCCGACTGGCCAAAAATCGAAGCCGTTTCTGAGTTTAGACTACGTACCGGACACAATTGCCTGGCAAAACACCTTCACAGATTGGGAGTATACACTCAACCCACATGCCCCCTATGTAACCTACTCAACAATTTTCACACCCAAAGTAAAACTATTAGACACAGTGCAAGTTTCTTCATCAGAATGGCATCAAGATATTCCCCTCTGTACAAGGTGAACGCTGGAAAACGCCCGGCACCATCAACACAAGAAGCTGTCGTATTACCACTAAAAACCTGCAAAGAATTTGCAGATGATTATAAAATCGGAATTTCTGGTAATTTGAAATTTCTTTTTACTAACCAATAATGATTGAAGTGATGGAATCACCCACTCATATAATCGGTGCAATTTAAAGAAATTTTCCTCTGTAAAGGACGTGTTTCAAAATAAGCAATGGAAGCGAACTGCCATTCAAGAGATCCGAAACCCACCAATCAAGGAGGTGCAAGGAAGCACTAAGTCCCCGAGAAATTTTTTCCTTCATAAATAAAGTTAGCACATTTGCTTTCGACTTTAAAAAAGTTGACATCGGAAGGCATTTAGCTTCCCAACCAAGTAGTACTTTAATGCAAGCAGTTTTGATTATATGGAATAAATAAAAATCAGGTGGTCAGAAAAAAGTCGAGCACTATAAAATCTGCTCCCCTCCCCCCCCCCCAACGGGATTTCAATTTAAAAGCACTAAGCCTTCTCAATAGAGAAATTTCAGTAATAGGGGACAGGTGTGTAGCACAAAAGACCACCCAGAAGATAGCGGTGAGCTTACTTCTCTAAGCATGTAGTAGATAAACCCAGAAAGCATTCTTCGTGAGGCGTAAATCTACTAATGCCTCATCATTATCCCTCATATGACATGTACAGTGCAAATAAACCACATGGAATAAATCGATAAAATCAATAAAAGATTGGGATGCGCATTCTCTTCGAGGTAATATGCAAACAGCAGAGCATTTTAAGCGGTAGGTCCAATACCACATAGAAAGGAAAAGCTCTGTAAGTCCTAATCCACACCAACAAATTAGAAATGGGTAGAGAGAAGAAGGAAAAATAGAACACAAACGCACTGAACGTGTATGCGGTTGCCTATGTGTACACATAACCAAAGTGCGGGCGAACATTTAAGAGAGTGGAGAGGTCTTTAAAAGTACTTTTACCCTTACACAAATTGATTTAAAGGACGTTAGAGCTTCAAAACGCGTATGTTTTTTGCATAAAAATAAATATTAACTAACAAATTCCCTGCCTAATTCCCTCCCCATGTCTCTTTCCCCCCTCTCCTTGCTGTATAAATATCCTCAAACATGATATTATTACAGTCGGTCTTAATTAAACACGAATGTTAGCACTAAGAATACGACGAATTTAAAAGCTCCATTCCTAACACAAAGTTAAAGCATAGAATAGCGACTAAAGCCATTCAAACAGCACACACTCAAATTTGCACCACATGAAAGAGTTAGAGAAAAGTGAGGCGACTTCATCTAGTACCATGAAGCAGTAAACGGAAATAAGAATAGGATGAGGAGACAATGGGCAGGAGGTTGGCTATTAAGTTTCGACATGGAACGAATAAGAGTTGTACAATAAATGAATACGTGACCGAGTATGACGGCAAACTAACACTTGTATCAATTAGCGGTGAAAAAGGTTAGCATCATAGGCTGACGTGCTTCCCAGGAAGCTAAGGACATATAAGGCATTGAAAGCTGACCAGTCCTATCTCCAAACTTTCTGCCGATAAGCACAGTATAGTCTCGTCGATTGACATTAAACACAAACAAGCCTCTATTGGCAGCCAAACAGCTAGCAAGAGGGAAAGAGGTAGTTCTATTCTATTAGGCGGCCTGACCAACCTTGGGATAATCATTTGGAATAGTAAGGAGTCAAAATAAAGTATCCTATGATAAAAGGACACCAAGGTTGTGAAACTGTTGAAAATACGGAGAGCACGGCGGTTGAGATGATGATGAGGTTGCGCTGTGATGGAATCCCGGACGAGTGGCTGCTAACGAGACCGCGATATCGGTCTCGTCTTCCCCGAAACAGATCAATCTAAAGAGGAGGAAATCTCAAACTGATCCCATTACGTTTTCACCATTGATACAGGTCTGTTATTATAAGGTGTTAAGAAAGCCCAAATATATTTTTTTCCATAATCTCGTGGAGACGCAAAACAAAAATAGAATAGTGGATGATAGCGATCGACAAGCACAGAAATGAACATAATTGTGGTAACTATCCCCCCCCCTTCCTTACAACTTGAGCACTTTGTAGTATTGACTCATGCCAACATCGGGATCCGTGTTTGCAGTCCAAAGGGCTTTATATTTATCAATTAATCACCAAGTTCAAACAGCAATCAACCCCTCGGGTAGAGCAGTACCATTTTTCATCAATTTATACATGTACTTGCATCACATTCGTTGTGTGCTAACCAGTCAGAGGTTATTGAATGACCCCAAAATGTCACGCAACACATCATGTGAGCGTCAATAGCACAGAAAATTTTTACAAAGCACCTCTAATAACATTGCTTCTTTTAGTACCTCCCTTTGTTTTCTCTTTCAATTAGCTAATTTTGAAGATTATTTTCACAAAAATCTATTTTATTAGATATCCATACATACAAAACTGTTTCGTTACTTTCCTCATTTTAGCGGCAAGGACTTGGCTTGGATAATGAAAAGCTCGTAGCCAGTTTCCGGTATTTCTGGCTTTAGATTTGAATTTGCAATCTTTATACCACCTGACTTGTTCTTCGCCAGTATTTGCGTGTAATGAATCACCTGTTTGCTCAAACAGCTCGTTTGGCTGGAAATGCTTTGAGCATAAAAGCGAACTTGATTATGGCTTCAAATTAATTGAATATTCGTTTTTCCATTAGCTTGCCTTCAAAAAAGCCCCGAGAATATAATCTCATAAGGCTCCCCCTGCTAATCCCAAACCGTGAAAAATTATGACAAAATATTTCCAATCCTAATCAGAACCTTTAGTAAAAGGATTAAAAATGGGAGAGGGGGGGGGAGAGAGAGAACAAGTGCATTTCAAAACCAGGCCAAAAGCACAATATAACCGCCCTCCCAAATGAAACAATACAAACTGGCTTTATAAATAGGTCTATTGTTAGCTTAGAAGCGAGAAGTAGGCTACCACTTAACCCATTTTCATTTCACACCAACTAGTACAGAATTTGTCAATTATTACTTCAAAGAATACTGTTAACATAAACTAAGGAGAAAATATCGGTATATATAAGCCATAGAGACAAAATTTCGTGTTCTTAGGAATTCAAATTTCCGCATTTTTTCCCCTTATCTGGAAAAAAAGACGAAAAAGAGAGAGGCATCGTCAAATTTTGCACTTCATGCCTTAAAAGGTGATTAGGGGTAACTTGTATAATCAAGATTATATTGAATAGAGATTATGAATAGTCAGGAAAGAGGTGTTGAAGGTGAGAGTTGAAAGTTTTACTGATCGCTTAAAAGGCAATCAAGAGTGGATAACGCTTTATTAATACATAAATTATGAGTTGATGCAGTTACTACAACTACGTCGAATACAAAGAGAAGTGAACTTACTTCCAAAAGAACTTGAATACATACATTTGGATTCAAAATTTCCATTCCTTCAGGTGGACATAAAAATAAACTCCAAATGGCCTTGATGACATTAAATTTCACAAAACATGAAGAACAAAAAGGGTTTCAGGTTTAAATTACTCCGAAGTTTAATTTCCTCCTATTTAACCAATATAGGTATATCAACAACTGTTGCAAATACCCCCTATTGTTATTATTGTTTTCGATGGACATGGAAAAGTGCACAGGCCTCCTTGCTCATGTATTGATTTATCGATTAATTTTTTGAACAGGGGTGTGGGAATTTAATCTCGCCACGGGTTGTGTTATTAATTAACTAAGCAACCAATCATTCCCCTTATATTTCAACTAATATAAACAAAATCATGCCCTTAATACAACGATCAGAACTAAATTTTAGTAATTATTGACTAATATGGAACCAGGGCTGAAAGAAGGAAACATTTCAAAGATCGACACCGATTGCAATAAGGATAGATTTAAAGAACTGATCACTTAAAACAGCGAGCTTTTTTACGTTTTTTTTTAACACGAACGTGTGTAAAAAGGGGCGAAAATTTGGGGGGTAACATTTAGAAACTAGCACACACTCACTCGCACACTCACATATTTCACGAAAACCGCAAAGCATTCACATCTGCATGTTTGCATACATGTACGTGAACGTTTAGTTGGGAGCTCAAATCAATACATGCACATACACACGCATACATACGAATATGTATATATATATATATATATATATATATCTGGGGGTCTAGAGCGGAAACAATATATTGTACATTTTTATCGTCATCAATTCATTCTACAGCCACAACAAGGCTGCCATGACCCAAAATGAACAAAGGCTAGAAAAATGAGGAGTTAATAGGGAACGGAAATAGCGTCAATTCCAGAGAGGCTACTTTAATTAACTGGGGGGGGGGATTGCCCCTTAAAATCTAATGATGTTAAAGGCTAACGGAAAGCAACCATTCATAAATCAGAAGAATGAGATTTGCGATGGGCAATGGTGTATTAAGACGATATGAGAAAGTGAGAAAAGGGAGGGTGTTACAAGGTCTGGTTAACCGTCTTAGCTTGACACCTGAGTATGGAAATGCAACAAAGGTTGAATAAAGATGAGGCAGCATAATTTATCAAATTTCGTGCTTCGACAAATCGGTAGGGATTAATAGGTGCATGATATATTACGAGATCACGGAATTGACAAATTTTAGAGGCATTACAGGAGAGAAAAGGAAGGAGCGTATATTTGCATAGGGAGGGTACATAATGGGAATCCATGGGAATTCGCAGTCAAATTAGTCATTGGTTGGATGAGAATATACGCGTCTGCACTTTAGTAAGCTCGCAGTAATATCAGCGCATGACATCCAGTGCAAATTCAAGTATTATTGGCTTATTCGCATTACATAGAGTCAAGAGGGAGGCTGGAGATTAGGTTAGGTATCAGAATTCATGCGGAACCCTTTCAACACTTACTATGAAACTATAAATGCTCAATACCTCCCCCCCCCATATTCTATTTTTACTACTTCTTTTCTTTTAACTGTCTTTATTAACAGAATGTTTAATAATTAATAATTAGAAAGGCGTAATGGCCAAGATCAGCGAGTAACTCAACCACAACAGCGCAAATAATAAAGAATTTTGCAGTGGAGGAGTTAAATCCGAAACTTGGCTGTGATGTAACGGTCAATTATCACAAAAGTTGACAAAATAGCAAGATACAACATTGTTCTCATTATTTCCGTCTAACTGCCCTCGTCGACATTGGAAGCTATGCAATTCATTTATCCATTCCGTCTTTTCGAGTTTTTCAAGATGATAATGATAAGAATAATTGACTTCATTTTTCGTATATAATACGAATACGGAAGCCTCATTTTCTCGAGAAAAAAATCAATTCATCTACGCGTGTGTGTGTGTGTGTGTGTGTGTGTGTGTGTATGTGCATGTGGGGAGGGGTGTCGGAGGGGGGGTGGGAGTATGCGAAATCCAAAACTGTGAAAATGAATGCACTTTTAGCCTTAAGTACTATTTTGAGAGTAAGCGTACTTTTAAAGAACTACATGGACGCACACACACACACTCAAACTCAAACTCAAACAAAAGGTAGTGGAATGCGAATTCGAGGTGAAAAGCGACTTACACATCGTGATACATCTCGGGCGGCAAAAGCGAACTCAAACGACTTATTTGAGAATTTATGTAATCCCGTCGCCTTCGTTCAACTAAAAGAGAGAACAAAACAAACGGGGAGGATAAAGTGAGTAGAGGTTCACTTGGAACAATCACAACAAATCCATTTACTACCACAGTTATAAAAAAATACATGATACAAATATAACAATTAATCGCCTAATCCCCTTCTATCCAACGGTTACCAGTGTAAGTGTAGAAAGAAGGGGAGGGGGGGGGGGTTGTTACATAGAGACCTAGATAAAAAAAATAAGCAAGTCATATAGCTGAAAGACATTCAAAATTTTGAAATCAGATTCAATGCGAGTCTCTTTGAAGGCTACTCCGAAAAAGGAATGAGAAGCGAATGACTTCCTCTGAGCCGAGTGGAAGAAGTAGTTTCGAATCCACATAGTCCAAATCGTCGACACATTTCTCCAACCTTTTTTCTTCTCAATAGAACTATTTTTTCTAGCATAATAATAAAAATGAGAAGTGAATACATGCATATATATATATATATATATGATTATATGAAAATGAGTTGAGGAAGGGATTAAGGAGAAGTTGGCATGTTTTTTACTTATGGATCACAAAAGAAATGATCCTTTGAGTTCGGTGTTAACAAATGGGTAAAGTGACATCTCAACCACCATTGAAATTGAAGACATGGAAGTAATTAGTGATCATTTCTTCTGAGAAACAATGATTCTGTCGTTACAATACTACTCAATTACCGCGATCTTATCTGCAAAAAACAATCTGCACGCAAGAAATCCTCCACTTATTATAACCCCAGCCACCAGCATTCTGAGGTATAATTAAAGAGCACAATACTTATAAAGGGTAATCATCTGGTCCCATTACATTTGAACAAAATGCACACCCATTAACGCAAGAGAGTAGTTGAAGGAGTTGAACTTCAATTCTTCTAAGACATAAGGCTGTTCAATCATTCACTCACCAATCAGCCTGATATGTTAGCCTATTAAGATATAACCGAAATGGTGACACATATCTCTAAAAAAATGGGGTGTGCGATAAACTTACCTCCACGTGGTGCACAATGGGCAACGTATACTCATACGGCAAAAAGTCTATCAATGGGCAGTTGACTTCTGACTTCAAACTTCCATAACCCACTGCATGTCATATTCGAGCCCTTCCACAGTACTTAACTAGCCTTTTCTCTGCCTTTGTGTCTGTCTGTCTGTCTGTTACATCTGTGAATCGCTCTTCTTTCCCCCTGTCGAATTTTTCTTACTTTAATGTTCCTCCCTTCTGTGAAGCCCGAAGTCAACTAAAGGGCTAATGATAACTATCAAAATGCCTGCCATTTGAAATAAAATAAATAAATAAATCTCTAAAAAATCGTAGGGCAAACCATTTCCTCCCAGCCTCCTCCTCCTCTGAAGTTATTTAATCTATAGGTGGAAAATTGTGCTGTGATTTGTCGTAAACAAGCACCCTAAAACGTGAAAAGAATGTACAACACATGTTCTCAAATTTGAACAAATTAATTAACAGAACCAACGCTTTCTGATTTCGCCAATTTCGTTATATTAAAGTAACGCATCACCACTTGTACTATTTTTTTATTTTATTAAAAAAATGAAAATTACACGATTTTAAGTGTTGTCGAAGGGTGTGTGCATTGAATCGAGCTATGAAAGATGGTGAAACGGTAAGATTGAAATCAAGAAAACAACCTCCCGTCCGAACTGAGCAGCAAATAATTTTGTATTAAAGAGATAAATTGAAAAGTAGAGCTAATTTCCATGAAAATGAATGCTTCAGGGTTTAAAGAAATGTTAAAATACAGCCTCTAATGACACTCCGATTGCTTTACAAAATAAGAGGATCTCATTAATGCCTCAAAGAAGCATTACTGACAAACAAACTGCATGCGTATTCCAAAGCACCAAGAAAATAACCACACGCACCAATTTAAATTGAAAAAAAGAGCAGTAATCCTACATAAAGCCCAAACCAAGCAACCTCAATATTTCAAACCCAAACGGTTATATATTCCCTTAGAGAGCAATGTTTTATTAATAGCATTAAAATTTTGACACCCCATCGATGGAAACTGATCTATTGAAAAAAGTGCAAACAACACTTGACACGAGTAGAACTCCCCCTGTACGCAACGCACACACACACACACACACGCACACACGCACACACACACACTCTCCACTGCCTCTCTTGTTGACTATAATCAAACAATGCAATTCGGCCATTGCGGGCTATCGATCTCTTCAGCTCTGACCAAGAAGAAGAAAAAGAAGAAGAAGTACGTGGTAATCACCGTGTTCAACAGTCACCTTTGGGCAGAGGAGAAAGATTTTGGATGGGAGTTACTGAATGAAAAGGAGGGTTGGGAATGATGACACCTCTGGTGGATATTATTGCATCGAAGATATTCAGGAAAAAAAATAAATCTCAAGAGTTGTAGCTTCCCTCCCCCCCCCCCCCCCCCCCCCACCGGAATGTCAGTAGTTGAGCGACAACAACTCGACCTCAAGAGGACACCAATTGTTATTCATAGAAAACATCACATGATTTATCCAAATAAACTTGTACATCCTCATTTGGGATCATGTTCGAATCCCGAAATGGAATTTAATTAAACGAGCAAACACTATTGGCCACCGTCAAATGCAAACAATCAACGCAGACAAATAAAAGTAACATTAGGGTCACCTTATTACTTCATATATTATTGCTAAATAAAAATGTGTTATTTTTTTAGAGGTTCTCTGCCCCTGTAAATAAAAAAAAGGCTAATTACATAATGATCAGAACTAAAAGAGCAAATAGTTGGCAGAGATCCAGAAAATAAATTCGAGGATAAAGCCGAATATATCCTCGAATTGGTCGAATTTCGAAGCGATTTAAATTAATGTTAGACAAAAAAAAATGGGAAATTGATCGGGAACATTTAGAGGTAGCTTTTCTGCCTCACCTCCCCAGCGTCCCTGACCTCCCCCCTCCCACCCCCACCCCC